ATATTAAATTTTTTTATTCAACTTTAGCGAGCTCTATTATTTAAACAAATGGTCGTATAAAAAAATTATTCCTATAAAATTTGTACACAGAAAAAAAAATTCACTTGAATCAAGTAAATAATTTTGAAGAATTTTATCTTCTTTACTTGGGTAGAAAAATTCTTTAACTAAGAAATTTTATTTCATTCAAGAAATTTTTTAATCTTTAATCAAGACAATGAAATGAGACTCTTGAAAATTATTTTCTTGGTTCAAGAATTTTTCTCTCGATTCAAATAAATTTTTTTTTTCAATGTAGAAAATTTTATGTTGTAAAAATTTTATTTGATTAAATTTTCTGTGATTTTAATATATGAAAAAATCGAACGCGCTTTGCGCGCTTCCGTTGAAATATTTATTGTTGACAATTTAATAAATCAATATTTTTAAAAATTTATAACAAAAGTTATCATTTATCATTTTCATCTAAATAATATTTATTATAATGATTGCAAATATTTCTTCACTCTCATATTAAATCACCTGAGTTGTATCGATAGTCAAGGTGTTCAAAGGAGCATTAAATAATATTCGATTATCAGTATCTATACTGAATGATATATCTATATATAATATAAGTACCATCTGTTCTGGTGCCAAGAACATGACGCAGCATATAACTAACCAAAGCAATAGCAAGTAAAATGACTTTAAGCATGATATAAATATAAATACAAGATGTAGGCGAGTTTTGAGTGCGGAAAGAACTCGAGAAAGTTTGTGGTGTAGCTAAATGTTATTTTTTTTTTTCATTTTACTGCACGGCGTTTATTTTTCTATGGCGTTTTGCGACATTTATGCTTCAAACCCACATAATAACTAATTGAGAAGAAAAAGAAGATAATCCCGGTGATTTATCGATAGAAGAAAATTAAAGTTTAAATTACTAAAGAAAGCCAAACCGGAAAATGAAATATAAATATTAATTATTTTGTTGGTCAGTTTAATTAATGCATTAATTACAAGCTTAATGACGGGTGATTATATTTATAATTTATAAATAATGTTTATTTTACTTGACTTGTTGTTATTATTTACCGGCTGTTAACATGTGGTTTTGGGTGTTGGCTTACGATTTTCATTTGACGTTTTCTAGGCGGTCGTGCACGTCTAATCGTGATTTACTGGATAAATAGGAAGAAGCCGGAGATACTGTACGTTTGTTTAAGAGAAAGTACGACCTTTTACTCAATTTATTCCCTATCGCTAGTGTCATTATAATAATTTATTTATTTATTTTTTTTTTTTTCAATAATAAATACATTAATTTAAATAATTTATTTTTTTTATAATTTAAATTTATTTAAGTAAAATATTTTAGTTTTATAAATTTTAATTTTATTTTTCCCAAAACTTTAACTTTTTTGCAAAAAGTAAAAAGTAATAAATTATTAACATTACTAACGTTTAATTAAAAGAAATTAATTACTTAAATATTTATTTTATATGGCAATTTTTAGGTTTTTTTAATAAATATTTTATTATAGATAATTTTTCTAACAATGCTACTTATAAAAATTAAATAAAATAATGCAATTTTTTAATATCAAAATTTATTGATTTATCAAACTAAGAAAAAATGTTTTATTAATACATTAATATCCTCTAAATACAGTGTACAAAAAAATGAGATTTTTTATTTATTCTACTGTCGCAGTGCAGGAATTATTTTATTGTCGGTATCGTATTATATCATAGGTGTGGGAAGGGATCATTTAAATTTATGCGATTCTCTATACTTGTCTTGGAAGATCGTACACATATTTTAGATGTATCTAGGAAGTAATAAGTAAATAAATACTCACTTGCTGATAAACTGTATTGTGTTGCTAAATAACGATGAGAACTGTATAAACATAAATAATTAGGTATAGGGAGGATAAATAATCATTTATGCCAATTTTTTTATTTTTTTTCTGTCGGTAGAAAAATTACTTAATAATACACACATCATACTTTTTTGAATTCTTTTTTATTCTTTAGAATTATCCGATTGAAATTAAAAAGTTATTTAAGAATTCAAAAGAATTAGTTAGTATTAAATTTTTTATATTTATATTATTTATCAATTTATTTTCATGTTTATACAGAGGCTTTAAAGTAGGATGAGATGTGACAACTTTGTATAATATCCTCCTTGATTTATAGTCATTCATTTTTTGACAAAAAATATGATGGTTTAGAATTGAAGCAGATGTTTCCGGCTGTAGAAATTTTTTTATCCCCCGTATTATTTTTCTATAAGCTTTTATTTGTTGATTCTGTACTTAAAAAATAATAAATAAATTTTACATCAAAACTAAAATTTAAAAATGTTATTATTGATTTTTTAATTTTTTGTTTAATATTTTTTATATTTAAAAATGATTAATTGTGTAATGAATAAATTAAACAAGCTCAAAAGATGTGAAATTAGTTATTATCCGATTTGATTATTGTATAATTGATCGGAAGTGACTTGAATCGCCTTAGAAACGAGTTAAAGATCGATAAAATAAAAAAAAAAAGATTATATAGTTACCTTAAAATGAAGCGATGCATGTTAAATAACGTAATATAAGCTCATAAAGAAAAAAGAAATCTATGTATCATTCATTACAGTGATTTGTGTATAAAGATCTTCATAGATATGGAGTGAATAATAACTTGTCAATCCCGATAATAAAGCCATTCAGCTGAATTATCTAGTTACGGATATGTGATTTAAATCTCAACTCTTCACTGGGCACGTTTTTGTATTACATCGGTTTTACCTAAACTAAAAACTTTCTATAGATTTAGAACAAACACTCAAACGAGGAAATCATCTTTGTAGGCATATCTGGTTACTTGACCTTTAGCTTTAGCTTGACTTGATAGTTTAGTCGTGTATTGGCTTCTATTTAAGAGCATTCAAATCATTGTATACATTCCGTAGGTAGTTAGAGATATGTTAATTTCTTCTCAAGTGTCTAAATTACGATATTTTACCGTTGAAAGACTGAAATACTTCTTAGTACGCGTTAACAGAGCTCTTGTTACTTTTAACAAAGCTATTCAGCAAATCGTCAACAATCGAAAGTGTTAATTGAAAAGCAAAATTTTGTAATAATCGAATAAGTTAGTTGGTTAAGAACCGGAAAAAATAAATTAGTTACTTCAGTGAGTAGAAAATACTGATAGAAGTATTAATGTTCATATTTAACTAGCAACCTTGCAGTCACTATGTTACTTTAAATTTTGCTTTATTAAATAATGACTTTTGTTAAATTGCGCTGTATTTTCTTAAATATTGACGTTTTTAAAGATATAAGCTCATCCCGATGTTACACTCATCAAGAGCTTTCATTTGAGTACCCACATGCATTTTCATATATTTTTCATATATACATATATATAATATATATTTTAAAGATATAAGCTCATCCCGATGTTACACTCATCAAGAGCTTTCATTTGAGTACCCACATGCATTTTTTATATATTTTTCATATATACATATATATAATATATATAAATATATAAAATATATGAAAAATTGATGTAGGTACTCAAATGAAAGGTCTTGATGAGCGTAACATCAGGATGAGCTTACATCTTTAAAAATGTCAATAGTTCACGAGATACAAGGTCATTTCTTAATCGTTTATCTAGAGATAGAGCATTTTCGAATGCAGCCTAAATACTTATCATCATAAATTATTAACATTTAATAAGTTATTAAATTGTTTTGATTTTAAAAATTGAAGAAATAAAAAATGTTCTAATAATATTTAGATTTATGAATTAATGCAAAATTATTAATGTAATAGGGATGGGTTTCTGAATGAATAAAGTACCTGAAAGTATTAAAATGTATTTTACCATTGACTAAAACTTCTCCATTAGCCTCCATTCACAAAGTTTGGAGACGTCTTTATCTGTTGAACTTTGCCGTACTTTATTACCTCTCCAAGCTCCGGAAGTGAAAACCCAAATTCTATGAAAAGTCTCATTATTTTCTAGTTTAACAATCATTTAGTATCAGGTAATTTTTTATCTCCGGTACATCCGCTCACCGAAAAAAACATCTCAAATTTAAAGTTACCGGAAGCGAACATTGTATTGATTTTCCTCGCTTCTATCTCTGGTACATCTTATACCTGACAGGGGAAAAATATAATTATGTCATTAGTTTCATCCTTAAAAGTCATTTGTCATACTTATATCCTTCAAATATCGCCGGAAATTATTGAAGATTAGAAATTTGTACATTTATTTTGGTTTTTCAATAAAAATTTAAATGTAAACAAACAAAAAAAAAAAAATACCCAAAATTTGGAAGTTACGATACAATTTTTCGTACAAAAAATTATTCGAACAAATTTTTTTGGAAAAAAAATAATTAATATTTACAAATTTAAATAACTTTTTAGAAATATTTTCAACTAAATAAATTTAATTTAATCTAAAAACTCTATTTTAATATTTTCCGGATTAAAATCAATATTTTCCGCTCCAAAAAATTCCAAATTTATTACATACTCAGACTATTTTATTTTTCGACTTCCATACTTCAATTGATGGGTGTGAAAATTTACCTGTGATGTTTACAGCATAAGAAAATACGTAATCGTCCCTATTGATCTTACTTTTCAGTAGAACGTATCATAAAAAATTTGTCCACCCTACTCCATAATAGTTTTGAAAAAATCCAGGAAAGTATGATAGAATATTTTTCTTTTTTCAGCTAATACGGCTGTGTTAGTGTAGTCATCTCATTTTACGAGATAATATTTACCTACGCATCGGCATTTCCGTTATATACCTGAAATGTATTATATTCGTTGAAGCCGGAAGAACGCAGCATCAGTACCTATTATATGCTTTGAGCAAGAACATATCGGACGTTGTTCGTAGTTCGTACCAAGTAGAGTTTCGTGCTTGCTCACAGATAGTCAGTCCTTAATTTTAAAAAGTTTCTTCTCTAGTGTTTCAATATAATGAAAATACTATTGGTTTTTATTTTTGGGAGTACAGTATTTTGCAGTGAGACCGCGATCCAAGAGAGAGATGATCGTATTCCGACAAAAATATTAGAACATTATTGGCCAGTGATTAATTGTTTACTTGAACGAGAGTCTTGTACTCCAGTGTCAGAATTTCTTGCTGGTAAGTTATTATTATTATTTATTCATTTAATTGGCCATGAAATCAAAACTTCTTACGGCCATCCAAAATTGATACAAAAAATCTTAATATAATATATAAAATATTAATTTAATTTTTACAATTTTTGGAAAAAAATGACATTAAAATCATCGGCAAATTTTGACAATTTTTTTAATTTTTTTTTAATAATTAATTAGGTATAGAAAATTATTAAAAAAAAAATTTGCATTTATAATTTTTAAGATGGAATTTTTTTAACAAATTATTTTTGCTAAAATTTAATTTATTTACAGTTGCCCTGCCAGATTTCTTGCGGAATCAATTAGACAGCTACGATTACAAAGATAAAGTGTTATTAAAGACCCATTCTCGAAACATAAGGAAGTATTTTCCTCACGAATGGGAACTCATCGAAAAAAAATTTCACAAACGATCAAAATACAATTTTTCGGTGAATTCAATCAGTTCGGCTGATTACAAGATTGATTATTTAAGAAAAGAGCAGGGGGAAAAAAATGACGAGTTTAGCCGATTAGCTGCCGAAAGTTTTGTGAGCAATAATTTTACAAATATGGTAAAGTTATGCAAAGGTATGTAAAAGTTTTGTCAAAACTTACATTTTTACTAATGAAATATTTAGATAAAAATAATAAATTTGTTTTCAGACTTGATTACCGATTTAGTAGTCTACGGCGATTGTTTGATATGCAATAAGAATTCCCTCAAATGGCTCAATGACATCAAAAACTACCTGCAGACGACCTATCCAAGAGAACTACGGGAAATAGTTATGAAAAATAAAAATAGATAAATAGTTAAATTGTTAGCTAATTTAGTTCTTTTATTTATTTAAAGCTTATTTATTATATTTAAGTTTTCAATATCTTTTAAAGTGTTTTTGATTTTTTAAAAATATACTGACAAATTTCTTTTAATAAATTTTTTTTGTTAATAAATTATAATTACTAATTAAATTCATGAGCAAAGTTGTAAGCATTGTAAAAACCACGATACTTTTATATAAATTTATTCAATTACCGTACGTGACAAGTAGTCTTTTACATAGTATATAGCAAAGAGTTACCAATCAACTTGATAAATATTGTTGTGTCAGTAGTAGCTGTATCAACTCATATGGAGTTCTTACATCTACGTATTATGTGAATGTGACGGACTTGTTTCAAAAGGTGACAGGAAATTGATTAGTAAAAAAAGCAGTATCACAAAAATCGATTTTCTGTATACTTTATTTTTTAAAAAATAGTTACACTTATTTTATAAATAAATAGATTATTTTCAAGAGATAAGACAATTATAAATATACAAAGATATTTATTATAACAATTATGGTATGAATTATTTATAGTGCAATAAACTAGATTAATTTAACATATAAGAGGGCAGTTGTTATTTACTTTATTTTTACTTATGTTTCTATAGTTAAGAGTTACGCTCTACTGGCTGTTGAGAATGCAGTATCCAATAAAAAAGCGGTCGATGTTGTTTCAGAAATTATTATTCATATGTTTAAGTTCCATCCACCTTGGCAATGGATATTTTCTTTATGAAATTAACTAATAAAAAAAAAACGACAATGTTTTATTACATTAGTTATTTACTGTGAGAAAATTTTATTCATTTTTTTTTAAATTGTTATGAAATGTTTGATCTTTCTACTGATGTAATGAACTCAATAAACTTCTTATTTATATGTTATTAGAACAAAGTAACGGTAGTGGATAACTATCTTACAGGCTTTAAATTGCACGATCAACTATTTAAGACTAAACATTACTCTGATTTCATCTAAAATTATTGTTTAAACTCAATACAAAAAAAAACAGCTTAAAAAAACTATCAAGAGTTTTATAAATAACTTTTTGAAATTTATAAATAATTACAACCAAGATAAAAATAAATAACATTAAATATTTGTAAAAATAACTTTATTAATGATTACAACATTCGTATCTTATCTGACATATTATATTAAATTAAACTTTTCACAAATGTCTCCTTGCGTTACAATTCTGACAAGTTAGTCATTTTTGGTTTAATTATCGTACTATAAAAAACTGGTTCATATCAGTTGAATTGTTGCATGGGTTTGAGCGCGGTAAGTTAGGTAATAACCAAAATTTCACTTTTTTCAACGGTTTAAGCTTATGATGTGATGTAAACACATAATATGTAAATATAAAGTGTTTTTTAAGCATCTAATAAATTAAAAAATAAATTAATAAATTAAATACTTAAATTCATCAATAAAAAACACTAATTAATATTTTGGTTTGCATTTGATAAATGTTGCAGCGAGCAGTACCTCTTCAACGTGTTTGAAGTGATAGTATCAACCCTCGAGTCTAAATTACAGCGGATCGAAAACCTGGACAAGGCCGTCGAGCACTTGATGCGGCGGGTTGAAGCACTGGATTCACGAGTTAACGATAACATTGACAAGACAGACGCGGTAATTACTAAGCTGAGAACCTTGGATCTGAAGCTCTTCCATTCACAACCTACACTTCCGCCGGAAATCATGAGACAAAGTGAAGGAATGTCTGAGAGAGCTGATGGCCATCAAGAAGAGTCTGGTATATGTTATCATTATCATTGTATCTGCTTATTAAATCCTTGCACCTAACTTTTTTTTCTTTATTCCTAATTAGCACTAGATTTATCATTAATCATTACAATTAAATTTATTCCATTAATTACGACTCATAGTTCCGGTGATCCGGTTAATTCATCACGACAACCCGTCGCCTGAGTATCTAGGGGAAAAATTGCTGTCCTTGGACCAGAAAGTCTCAGACATTGACGACAAATTGGTGAATCTGAAGAACCAACTGGACACCAACTTCCTGCCAAGCGACGACATAAATGCAGAAGCCAGTGAGAAAAAACCGATCAGTATGAACGTTATAGAGATCACGAAGGCTATGAGCAATGAAGTAATGAACCACGTGACCATTGAAATTGAAAATCTGAGACAAGCTACCGGTAATATGGACAGAAAGTTGCAATTCCACATGAATTTGGTGTCAGATACTTTGGGCTCTGTTTACACCATGACCAAAGATATCCACGAGGCGCTTATTGATAAGGCGCAACAACATTCTGCGACTGATGTTAATCGCACGACGGCTAGTCAACAGAGTTATGTCGCGAAACGCAGCAAAATTGATAGGCTGGTTGAGAAAATTTACCCGGTGATCAATTTCTCGGATAAGATGAACGAAATTTGGGGCGTTGTTGTAAGTTATTTGATTTATAAGTTGGTTTTAAGGGCTGTATCTGGTCACTGAGCTTTTTTTAGTGAAATATGAGGTTGTAAAAATATTATCTAGGCAAAAAAGTCCATGTGATCATATATGGACACGATTTTTGATTGCATTAGACGGATATAAGATTTTTTCTTATAGAATGTTCATACATTAGTCATATATCGACGTTCTAATTAGCAAATTGTCTAACTCAATTTTAGAGAATCTTCTAATTGTACGTAAAAATAATTGATTCAAAATTTAACATCACTTTAATAAACCATTCAATATCATTAATATCTAATAGAGGTATAATATTTTGGTTTGCTGTATTGCTGTATCAAAATGTTAAAAAATCACCCTATAAAAAATAAGGAGTTATATCAGTTGCTTATTAGACAGTCGATATGATCATATGTGAGTCTTATATGCCAAAAGGGCACCATTTCATTTTTGATTGAGACAAAGAAAATGGTTCTCTTCAATTATAAATATTTTTATTGATCTTTTTTAATTTAACTATAAACTGCTATCGGTCATGAAGTTACAATTTGATTTTCATTGAGAAATTTTTATAATTTTACAAGAAATTAATATTCAAAAGTTCAAAAAACTGCTCTTGTAAAATACGAAAAGATAGGTTCTATAACTCTGTATCTGCGGACAAAATATCCTTTTTAGGGTGTTTAATAAATAATTGAGGGTCAATTTAACACATTTTTAATATTAAAAATATTATTATGAAATTAAAAATATTATTGAGCTTAAAAATATTTTATCCACGGAATTTTTATCCATGGATATTTTTTATCCGGTGGATTTTTTGTCTTAAGGATATTTTGACAAGGATATTTTGTCGTCATATATGGTCACATTTTGACTTTTGTCCGAGAAAAATAGAACAAAATAATTAAATATTGTACTGATCAGATTTTTTTGGCTACAAACTAAGATTTAACCTTGAAAAATAGTCCATTTGATTTAAAAAAAATTTTTTATTAAAGGTGGGCACTAAGACAGCAGTAGACAATTTATTACCCAAGTCAGATGAAATATTAGTTCAAAATCAACGTCAAGACCGAGTAATAAGTACAATTCACTCTGATTTACGGACAAAAACAAATGAAATAATTGATAACCTCCAGGGCGTTGAAAGTAGATTAAAGAAACAAGAAAATGACATTGCAACATTTGCACAGCGCCCGATTCCAGCGGAGCTTTTACTAGACCCGACAATTGACCGTCTGGTTGAATACGATCCCAACAGGTTCGTATAATCACAATATAACACTACATTCTAGTCAAATCTGTGTCACTTAACTCAGTATTTAGATTTAATAATTATTTCCAATGATCTTGAAGGTCATCAATATAATAAAACCATTAAACTAAAATCAGATAAATCGATTGTGGAACAGATACATCGCACTGCACGATGAGTTTGCGTCAGAAGCTTTGCCGTCAACGACCACGACACCTTTCCCCACATCATCATCATTGCAAGGTTCATCAGCCGCAAATCCACCATCGACGACTCCGATAAGTGTTTCCGTTTCGATGTCTTCATCGACGTCAATGTCGACATCTTCTGGCGGATCTACTTCGTCAGCCCCGTCATCCTCTTCGTCATCGCCCTTATCGTCATCATCATCGGCTTCACTTGTACCTTCGTCATCCCAGAGATCAACAACACGCAACCGAGGAGTTATATTCCCGAGTGTTAAGAACAAACCCAGTCCGGCTAATTCAACCTTCACTACTGACAATGTTGTCGTCAACTACAAGGACATCAAGGTGAGTGACAGGACAATACTCCTATGTACGGTCTTTAGTTATATTAACTTGAATCGATTAACAGCGTAAGCGTTGCATGTCATCGTCTTACCATAATTATATCATACAAGTGTAATTAAACAAATCATTTTTTATCTGTACAATACTATATGATGATGATTGATTGTTGATAGTTTTTCTTGGTAGCGAGAGAAAAATTACAAACACCTGCGGTTTACAATTCCTCGGTTTGATTTGTAGCTTGATGACCTTAGCATTATTATTGCATTATTATCATTCAATATTATTTTTAAACCACAGTTATTTCAATTTGGTTTCAAGTATTTGCTTTGTTTTAAAAAAAATTTATTGCACGCCTTATAAGCGAAGCGTTAATTAGTTAATTAATAATTTAATCTTAATCAATAATTAATTGTTAATAAAAATATTAAATTATTTTTTAAATGACAAAATAATTTACAGTTTATTAAAACTAAGGATTATTTTAAAAGATCAAATTTCGACGGGCTGTTGATAATATTTTCGAGCGTACAATAATTACAATATCGAATCTCGTACATCGGATACTATGCAATGGGTAATGTGTAATCTGATGTGGAGTCAGCGGTTTCCGATCTTCGGACAAATAACAAGAGAAAACAAAAGATCTAACATGAAAGGGTAAACGGCGGCGTCTTTACAACTCATTACAGTGTCTCTCTTTTGTCTCTCTCAGGACCCGTGTTTTGGGTCGTGTATTTTTTATCGTACACACATCACAAGTCGACGTCCAAGTGCATTATTAAATCATGTGAGCAATAACCGCTACCCACAACTTATATCACGCGGAAGAGGTCTCATCATTACCATCATCTTAATCTTACTTTAAGTCTTGAGTCTTACTCTTATTATTCTTACCCGATGCTCCCTTTTATTTATTGTACGAATATAGGCCACGTTCCTTTAGTAACCCGCAAGTGTATATTCACGCTGTGAATAATTGCATTATGTATGCAAGTCTTACCTTAGTCTTACATTTACCTATACATCCATATAATCCACGATATATACAATGTACATATTAAAGTACTTAAACATTATCCCTCAGACGCATCATCTGTCGAAATCTCAGCCGTTAAAATCACCGTACACTCATAAATCAAAAATCAAAGTGAAATTAAATTTTATATTATTATAAAAAAATATACGTCTACACACAATTATTTTTGGGTGGTCTATATACTCAATACACACATCTTTTTTCTCCTTCTTACTTTTACATTCTGCCTTTAAGATCTCTTTATGAAATTATTACACTGCATTTTAAAATCGTCTCAGCCTCTTTATTATCAATTATTTTTTAACCGATTATTTTATTCAATTTATTCATTCATTATTCTGATGAAGATAAAACTGTAAATTAATATGAATTTTTATTTTTTTCACTCGAGAATTTAATAATATTATTTTTTTATTTGTGAGGAAAAAAAATTTTTTTTTTCATTGATAATCTATATTATTAATTTAAGAGAATAAGAAAAATTTTGTGGCCAGTGTATTTATATGATAAAATGGATTTTTATATTTTATAGGATGCATTCGAAAATGCTCTCTAGATACATAATTAAGAAATGACCTTTTATCTAATAAAATATTGACATTTTAAAAGATATAAGCTCATCTCGATGTTACACTCATCAAGACCTTTCATTTAAGTACCCACATCAATTTTTCATATATTTTATATACTTATATATTTATATATATGTATATATGAAAAATATATCAAAAATGCATGTGGGTGCTCAAATGAAAGCTCTTGATGAGTGTAACATCGGGATGAGCTTATATCTTTAAACATGTTAATAGTTAAGAAAGTACAGTGCAATTTAACAAAAGTCATTACTCAATAAAGCAAAATTTTATAGTTCACAACTCACGGCAGTCACATAGCGACTGCAAGGTTGCTAGTTATTAATATCTAACTATAAAATTTTTTAAATAAATTAAAAGTAAAAATGCAAAATAAAAAAATTCGATATCTTCATTTAGATTTATAAACATAAATTAATTTGTAATTGAATTTATAAGTAGGCAATTTAATACAAAATTGAGCATTAATGTTTGCGTTACTTTAGACCCATTAAATATATTTGAATAAAAAGAAAAAAATCTAAATATATTTATCACTTTGATTGCATTGAGTGAAAGTTATAACACTGATGTCGAATCAAAAAGAGAGTTTTAAAGTTTATTATTAATAAACGGTGCTTCTTGTTATTAACGATGATGACGTTAATTATGCTTAATATTATTATTATAGTAGTGGTGATGAATAATCATAGGCCGATTGAATTAGTGGGATGACCTATAGCATTTATTTATATTTAGAAAATGTTTCAAGTTAAATATTTCCTCTTTCACAATGCACTGGGTCAATATTCTTTTTATCTATTACTATCCATTCTAACTGGAATGCAAGCAACTTACTTTCCTTTAAATTTTTTATTAAAAAAAAAAAAAACTATTTATAATAAAAATTTACTTTCTTGCTTTAAAGACATTCTGGGACACCGAAAAGACCCTTCTTTCACTTTCTTAGTGAATAAAGTATATTTATTGCCTTTTTTATGTAAACTTTTTATCAGCCTGGACGGGACTGCGTTCTTAACTATTTGTTATATTTTATATAAGGAAGTGATAAAATGAAACTGTAGAGGCATCTCCAATTTCCAAGCAATTAAATAGTTAGAAATTTTAACCCTGAGGTCTATTACCACTATTCATCCGTGGTTTTATTTATTGACAGGCAAATGACCGTAACACCTGCAGGGCAGAATCTTTTGAACATAATTAATAATTATTTATGAGAGCTCCTTATAGATGATTACAAGCATGTATATATCACTTACATTGTAAGAATAAGAATTTACTGGCAATCTTGTAGTCACTATGTGACTGCCGTGACTTGTAAACTATAAATAAATAAAATTTTGCTTTATTAAATAATGAATTTTGATAAATTGCACTGTCCTTTTTTAAATATTGACATTTTTAAAGATATAAGGTCATCCCGATGTTACACTCATCAAAAGCTTTCATTTGAGTACCCACATGCATTTTTGATATATTTTTCATATATACATATATATGATATATATATAAATATATGAAAAATTGATGTGGGTACTCAAATGAAAGGTCTTGATGAGCATAATGTCGGGGTGAGCTTATATCTTTAAAAATGTCAATAGTTCACGAGAGACCGGGTCATTTCTTAATTATGTATTATCTAGAGTCAAGACTTCAAGTCAAGATTTTTCCAACGAGATAATTAAAACTAAAATATTTCATCACATTTATTGAATTATTTTTGTATTATTTCTGTAAATTTTCGATTTTATACTTTATACTTAGATTGCTCAATGAGACATAAATTTATAAAGATTTTATAAATTCGAGATCGAAAGTATTAGAAACATCGTTTTTTTTTAGTTATTTTAATTACCGATATTTATTTAGTTATTAAATAAATTGCAAAACTATTAATAACTCCACTAATCAATACAGGTTGTTTTATCATAAAATGTCATTTATGATTTATAACATAGAGTAATTAAATTATAATTATTGACATTTATTTTAATTATTTTAGGGGTACTCGTGTGTCGATTTACTCAACGCTGGAATGAGAGAAAGCGGCGTTTACTATTTGCAAATACGCGGAACGACATATTGGTTCTTAAAAGTTTATTGCGAACAAGAAATTGCTGATGGGGGTTGGACTGTAAGTATTTTTTTATTTTATTACTATAATTATTAAACAATTTGACCTTGGCTTTAAAATTTATAATTGTCTTCAAAATAAATTCTTGCATACATTAATTTTTAAGTAAAAATTTCCCTACCTTAATCTCGATATAATTTTTTTAATGAATAAAAATTCCAATGAAATATTTTCATAGAAAATCATAATCTTGAAGCATTTATGCATACATTATTACTCAATAATAGAATAAATCATTATACGGTTTAATAATTATCGAGAACAGAGTAGTCAGATAAATGACTGGTTGGTGTAAAAAAAAAAAAATTACCATATAAACAAAGGAAGCGCCTTAATAGCAACAATAATAACATAACATAATCAATATTTGATTAAGAAGTCATCATTATCCTTCCTAATAGATGTTATTAACTTAAGATAATTACAGGAATCGTCGCAGTAATTATTTTCTATAAAAAAAAGTCTAAATTACGCCTTCATATTCAATTCTCATACTCTCTATGAATAATTTAAAAAAAGCTGAAGCCGTAGTCGTATTATTCACTCATACTTTACAGAGTTATTTTATATTGTTCAGTTGTAAGACGTCTTATATTGGTATTGAATGTATTAAAATAATATAACGTCATTGTGCCAGTTATTGAAGACTGCAACGATATTTATAATAGTAATCGGATCTAGTGAAAGGGTTTTTGCATTTATAGAATGCTAAAACCACTAGACTAGACTGACTATCTTTTATAGTCGGTATGGTAACTACTTATGACTAATTCGAAGGTCGAATTCAATTGAAGGAAGGTTTAGTCGGTAATAATAATGATAACAACAAAAAGAAACAGGATTGCGGTGATCAGGTGGTCCTTTAAGTGTTACAATTATAAATTGCTGATATGGGTTATTTATTATTGAATTTTTGCATTAGGTTATTCAACGACGCGATGACTTCGGGGATCCAAGAGAGAACTTCAATCGTGACTGGGCGGATTACAAAAACGGATTCGGCGATCCTGCACGCGAATTCTGGCTTGGTAATGAGAATATTTATATGCTGACCAATAATGAGGATTATTCATTGCGGGTCGAACTTGAAGACTTTGAAGGCAATAAAAGGTTTGTACTTTCTTTATTATTTTATCAATTTACTCTTTATATTTATTGGAGCAATAAATTCTTAGAAATTGTCAATATATCGCGTTACTAATGCCAAAAGAGCGTAAAAATTTTTTTTTTCTTCGATTAACTTAGAAATGTTATAATTTATTGAAGTAATGAATAATAAAATTTTTTTTTTCTTATAGCACAAAAAGCGTATTTTTAAGAAATGTATTTTAATTAAAAGACCCAGTTATTGACACTGGCCTAGTTATTTGACACTTGCAATTTTATTCTAATTAAAAAAATTGAATGTTCTCAAAAAACCAATTTTCTTAAAATTTATAATTCAAAAATTGGTTTTTTTTGTTAAAATTAAATTAATATGTTTTTTTTTTAATTAAAATAAAATTGCAAGTGTCAATAATTAGGTCAGTGTCAATAGCAAGGTCTTTTACCTTATATCTTTTAAATTTTAAATTTCCAAAATGTCGGGGTTTTTGCAGAGTCAAAAAAAGTGTCAAATTAGCGATACGCCCTATTGACTTTAAGAACGCAGTATGTTTGAGTATATTGAAGAAAGTCTTAAACTTTTTTACTGTAGAAAGAAAGCCGATAAATTAGTAATGATATCTTAGGTTACGTGTGAAATAAAAATGCCCTGAAAGTTCATAATTCTCCCATAGACTGAATAGCCATAAGACATTTATTATTTAGATAGACTATTAAGTTTAATTTAAAATTGGATTTTTTGTTATTTTATTGATACTCAGCGAGAAAATTGTTACTTATAGGGAGAAATAAGAGAATTATAGTTTCCGTGCATGTATGGGAATTGATTTTATATTATTTATACAGTAATTTGTAAACATTCATCATCTCATAGACGCCAGAAGGGCTTATTCAAAAAGATTTTTTTTTAAGAATGTAAAAAAACATAAATTTAAATTTTGCACACCTCAAAAAGCTGGACAAGGATAACTTTGGTGATAATAATTAAAAAAATAGATAAATCATTGTCTTTTTTCAAATTTATTGGTCATCAATCCGTAAAGGATCTCTGCTTTTGATAAAAAAATTAGATAACAATCTATCGCATAAATAAAACTAAAAATCGGAAGATTGAATCCTTTGATAAACGACTAATGAGCATGCAAACGTTAAATGGACACGCGAAAACGAAAGTTTTGACTTTTAGCCGACATATATATGTATGTATATGCATTGGTGAGTATCTCCGTACGGGTATAATATAAAAATCTATATGCATCACGGTGGTCGATTTAAAAAGTTTGAATCGGACCTGGGAACTTGGAGAAGAAGGTGGATCGGCAGATCGATTCGCCGTGCATGAAAATAACGCCACGAGGAACGAAAGTCACCTGTGATTATTATACTTTACTTTTTACTTTCCCCTCTTTAGGGTGGACAGTGTACGGTAGACCAAAGACCAACTCAAACTCACTTGACAAGATCGATTGGCAGGCCTTGTCTTCCTTCACTCGGTCATTTCTTCAGTATACCTTCTTACAATATATGTACAGGCACATTCTTACTTATGCCGCGGTGCCAATTACGCGGCTTCTGTCTTTCAACTACACCGAAACCATAATTAAATACTACCGACGAATAATATATATATTTTTCATGTTTAAATAGACATTTATCAATTTGTCGTTATTTAATAGATAAAACGCTGACTGGTTCGTTTTTTTTCGCCACCTATAATTGACATCTTATTCAATATTTTCATTATTTATTTATTTATTCATTTTTGTGTCGTAATCAATTATTCGCTGGCTCAAGTTGTACTCGATCTTGTGTGTTTAAATATTTTTAAGCGTAAATGGAACTGTAAATTTTTGATACACTGAGCGAAAAAGTTTTTTTTGAAAAAACTTATCTTTAATCAGAAAAATTTTGGCTTTTCCAGATATGCCCAATATTCGCACTTCAAAATTTATTCAGAAAGCGAATACTACAAATTAGAGATTGATGGCTATGAAGGTAACGCAGGTGACTCATTAAATGATCCATGGTACGGCTCTAACAATAGTCCATTCTCTACATACAATCGGTGAGTAAAAACTCTAAACAATTACTATCATACTAATAAAGAGAAAAAATATTAATAATAAATAAATAAATAATAAGTCTATTCTTCTGTCATAATTTGTGAGACTCGAGTAAATAAGTATGAAATTTCGCTACAAAAAAAATGATACTGAGACAATTGACGAAGTTGTTCATTTAGTTTAGTTGAGTTGAACCATCAATTGTGACACTCAATTTTATTGTAAATTTTGAGTAAACAAGAGGATTAAAATGGTGCAACATCATTTCAATAGTCTTGTACTGTATAAATTAATCACTGAATCCAAGTTTATTTAATATTTATGATTTTACAGAGATAATGATAGATCATCACTGAATTGCGCTTCGATGCTCAAAGGCGGCTGGTGGTGGAAGTCGTGCGGCAGAGGATTAAACGGACTTTATTTGAACGATCCGCAAGATCTTACAGCAAGACAAGGTAAATAAAAATATCTTTAATATTACCATTATTTATTATTGATAGATATTATTGCTAGATCGTGAGATCAGAGCTCGTTGAAAAAACTTCAACTGGACGAGTTTTAAATCATATTTTTTTTAACGAATAATTTAAAGATTTTGTAGTAGCCATTTAGCAGTCATTGAATCACTGAGCGCTCTACTGATTAATTCTACTTTTTTAAATTCATTTACTATTATTTATAATTTTATAATTTATTTTGAAACTAAAACACTTTTTCTCTCAAATCAACATAAAAAAGTATTAAATATTTTTCATTAAAATTTCTAACACAAAATCTTTTATCTATATTATTAAGAAAGTAAATAATTAAGAAATGACCTTGTATCTTGAGAACTATTGACATTTTTAAAGGTATAAGCTTATCCTGATGTTAGACTCATCGAGACCTTTCATTTGAGTACCCACATCATTTTTTCATATATTTATATATATGATATATATTTATATATCAAAAATATATCAAAAATGCATGTGGGTACTCAGATGAAAGCTCTTGATGAGTGTAGCATCGAGATAAGCTTATATTTCTAAAAACGTCAATAGTTAAGAAAGTACAGTGCAATTTAACCTAATTAAGAAACGACCTTGTATCTTGTGAAATATTGATATTTTTAAAAATATAAGCTCATCCCGATGTTACTTTCATCAAGATCTTTCATTTGAGTACCTACATCAATTTTTCATATATTTATATATTATATATATGTATATATGAAAAATATATAAAAAATGCATGTGGGTACTCTTGATGAATGTAACATCATGATGAGCTTATATCTTTAAAAATGTGAATATTTAAAAAGGAAAGTGCAATTTAACAAAATTCATTATTTAATAAAGAAAAATTTTTTTTATTTATAATTCACAAGCCACGGAAGTCACATAGTGACTGCAAGGTTGCTATTTATTAAAAAATGTTGGTCATTGTTACAGGTATTGTTTGGTTCCGTTGGAGAGGTTGGGACTACACATTAAAGAAAGCAACAATGATGATAAAACCCAAGGGTCCGATGTCTTCATCATCTTCCTTATCATCGAGTTAAGGTGCAGAAGTCTTTTAAAGCAAAAACGTGTTACTTATCACATACAGACATGGCGACACAATGTAAAAATTGTTAATATTCATAACAATACAGCGATAAAATAATTAATAATTATTTAATACTTACAATTAATATATTTAAGCGTAAAATTATATTGAAATTTGAATGCTGAAAAAAAGATATAATTAATGATTAACAGTTAGTTCTTTTTCGCCTTGTTTGAGTGGTTTCGCCATATCATCATTTGTCCATATGATTACGAAAGTACACACAGTATTCTTTTGTCACTGTTTTATAAAATAAGTGACTGGCTCTTTTATCATTTAGATTAATTCGCCTCGTCGTTTTTAAGTTAAATAAAAAGAGTTTAACAAAACAATTCAATATTATTAATGACTATATATATTATTGAATTCAATTGATTAATTGTAATCAGTATAAAAGTATCGTAAGAATTTTATCATAATTATTTTTTAACTTGTATGGATGTGAAAAAAAAAAGAAAATATATTTTATTTTAATTTAAAAAAAAAAACAGCATTTTTTTTTGCCGAAAATTTTTGAATTTTATTTAAGTAGAATCAATTAGCGGGTAATTAATCGATGAGGCTATCGGGACAACGCTGCAATGTCCGTAATTAAATGATAAATTCCAAAGAGTGTTTCATTATTTTAAAAATAAAAACGAAAAGTTATTTTTAAGGAACCACCGATTTATTATTAAACTATCGAAAGTAATAACAAAACAAAAGATGACACTCTTTGGATGCATGAATGTATATTCTACAATTATATAATTATAAAAATAATCGTGTAATTTTATTAATAAGAAAAAAATAATTATTGTTAATTTTATTAACGTGAAATTCAGTGAAAATTTGTATCGCGTGCATCTTATCTAATCATGAGACTTATTTAAAAGTGTAAATTTATTCTATTTCGATGGAGCAGTTTCATGATTAATAACATACAAATTAATATCTTCTTCATGTATAAAGTTGGAATTGTTTTTAAAATACGGTAAAAGTAAATTATTAAAAGATGGAGGTATCCTCAGATATAAATTAATATATTCTTGATTTATCGTTAATGATTTAATTCATTATTGTAAATAAAATACGCACGCATTTAATGTTTTATAAGTTGTAAAAAGCTTCTGAAATAAACGTATACCTTTTTGTAAATTTATATTACTGTGTAATTGTTATTTATTTTTTATATTTCAATATTACTTCCGAATTAATAAAATTCAAAACTTTTTAAAACTAGCAACCTAGTCACTATGTGACTGCCGTGACTTGTGAACTTGAAATAAATAAAATTTTGCTTAATAAACAATGACTTTTGTTAAATTGCACTGTAATTTTTTAAATATTGACATTTTTAAAGATATAAGCTCATCCCGATGTTACACTCATCAAGAGCTTTCATTTGAGTACCCACATACATTTTTTATATATTTTTCATATGTACATATATGTAATATATATATAAATATATAAAATATATGAAAATTGATGTGGGTACTCAAATAAAAGGTCTTGATGAGTGTAATGTCAGTATGAGCTTATATCTTCAAAAATGTCAATAGTTCACAAGATACAAGGTCATTTCTTAATTATTGACATTTTTAAAGATATAAGCTCATCCCGATGTTACGCTCATCAAGAGCTTTCATTTGAGTACCCACATACATTTTTTATATATTTTTCATATATACATATATGTAATATATATAAATATATAAAATATATGAAAATTGATGTGGGTACTCAAATAAAAGGTCTTGATACAGTACTTTCTTAAATATTATTAATTTTTTAAAGATATAAGCTCATCCCGATGTTACGCTCATCAAGAGCTTTCATTTGAGTACCCACATACATTTTTTATATATTTTTCATATATACATATATGTAATATATATAAATATATAAAATATATGAAAATTGATGTGGGTACTCAAATAAAAGGTCTTGATGAGCATAACATCGGGATGAGCTTATATCTTTAAAAATGTCAATAGTTCACGAGATACAAGGTTATTTCTTGCAGTTGAAATTACTTACTGTCAATATAGATTTAACCGCAACCCAAATTGCAGCCAACAGTTGGACAACAAGAACTTGACTTAAAATTTATCGAACACTTTAATACCTTTGTAGAATAAACAAAAATAGTTCTATAGAAGAAAAGTATACTTTCTTCTCTTATCGATCGAGTCCTTCATACCAACATCAAATAATGTAAACTCTCTTACCCCGTGTCGCAGATGTCGCTGTTTATCCTACTGCAGAAATAATGAAGGTGCATCGCCACAAATAAAGAAGAAAAATCATTAATTGCACACCCCATTGAAAATATTTTCTTCCGAACTAACTTACAATAAAATAATTTCCCGTTAAATATAAAGTAGCTCCGATTAAATTTGTAATTATTTATTTTTCGAGGGAGAATTAAATAGAAATCAAGTAAAGTAATTGAATTTCAGTTAAGAAACTTACTATCGACAAAATTTAAATTCGTTTTCTTAAGGTTGTACGGACACTAATGCACTTTTGAAGATCAGAAGCTAATTTTTTGATATGTTATGAATTGCTATCTCATACGTCTAAATTAATTTTTTTGAATAGATCTGTCGAAGGGTTATCCTTTAATAAATTATTAAAAAATTGAAATTTAACATGTAGCCTATAGAGACATTGGCGGATTGCACATATATCGATTTATGTGACTGCCTCATAGGAAGATTAAAAAACAAAAAACTTCTATTTCAGTCAATCAACTTTCGTAGAATACGTTAAAAATAAAATGAAAATTTTCTGCCGAAGGCTTTTAAAGATATTTTAATGCAAAAGATGAAAAATTCACAAAAATTTCAGGCCGACATATTTAAAAATAAACAAACCACGTGATTCAGCGCAGTGTGGCAACGTTGCACAGAATAGAACGCGCGAATTTTGAATTTTAGTAATTCCTGTGTATTTTTATGGGTTATGTTTTTCAACTCAACACTACACAGTGAGATAAATATAAACAGCTGTTAAGTGCGGTGTTGTCAGCTCCAAGTTTTGTGAAAAAATACTTGAGTCAAACGTTGACTATTTATTGTTGTTGTTAATTAAATTATTAAATTATTTTATTTAATAATAATGTAAGGTAACGATTCAATTATAGTAATGAATTTTCGTATTTAAATTTTTAAGTTTAATGAAAAAAAAATTTAGATTCTACTATGACTTACGGGGTACTGTCCGTGCAACCTTAATGGATTATTTGTACATAAATTATAGATCCCGTTTCATAAAGTAAAAGTTATTTTTATTATTATTTTTCTTCACTATTACCTTCCAATATTAAATTTCTCCCCTTTATTGATATTTAATTAAGTACTCTCCAAGATATGCCCTATTTATACACAGAAATTAATTATACATTCTTAGGTAATCCATAAAGTATATCCGTACATGTATATAAGTCCTTATATTTTTCCTCTGAATATTAAACTTTTTTTATTTTATTTTCTGTACATACCCGTACAATAATTTACCACACAAAAAGAATAATAAGAGACATACCAGAATTTTCTTATAAAAATTTAATACTAGCTTGCATTATCTTATGTTATATTCTATTACAAGGTAATCGAAAAAAAACATGTTTGTTATCATACAAGTTTATGCTTCCGATAACGTAAATATTAACCCACACATTTTCATATTGTATATAGTGTTTAACCAGATACTTGGGTGTTTTATAAGATGGTAGTTTTTTTAGCGTTGCTCTCGCTGTCTTCAAACAAAAATTTTCTCAATATTTGAGCTCTTAATTTTGATTTTCAGAAGCCGTGGATTAGGTTCAAAGTTTCTTAATAGATTTAATATAAGAACTGTGGTTGTTTTTTTTTTTTTTTTCTTTTTCTAAGAAGATTTTCATTTCGCTTTATTCTATATTTTTTTATAGTTCCCAGATTTATTTTGTAGAAGATGAAGTCTACTTTAGAAGTACTTTTGCTACATAAGCGTTTGTTGGAAGAGTTTATGAACTATATAGCGTTTTAAAGTAATTTTATTATTTCTCTTTTTTAGTGAAAATTGATAATCTTACAATTTTTTTGCATAAAAAAAGAAATTTTCACGGAAAATACTTATCAAATAATTTTTTTATAAAACACAATATTTAATATTTATACAGTTTTTAAATATAGTTTGCAAAAATTATATTTTAAGACCGTAATTTTTTTTTTTTTTTTTTTTTTTTTTTTTTTTTTTTTTCCGGGCGCCTAACATCAAAATTTCCCCTATAAACTATAATTATCCAACAATTCTTCTTTCCGTATCCAAACGATACGGAATCTACCAGAAAAAAATATAATTTTCATACAATTAAATATAGAAAGACACATATATCAATATACACATCTGCATGCATGCACATTTATGTGTTATTAGGTCGCGGTCTTATTAAACTAAAATTACTCAATTTGATATTTATCGGATGAGTTATACGGCGGTAAAATAATGGCGCTCTAACCAGCAATATAACGAATAGCTGGGAAAGCAAGAGCAAGAACAAGAGCAAGAGCAAGAGCAAGAGGTAAAACCGATGCCAAAGTTAAAGTTGAAACAAAGCAAAAAGCAATGAAGAGAAAAGGATGTATATAGAATATAGAATAGAAATAAGCACCACCGCAAGTGTTTGGGACTTTGGTACGGCAACCACCGAGCAGAGGTGGTTACTTTCTTCTCTATTTCTCTACTTCTATTGGGTATATAGAGAGCACAATAATAATAAGTTACGGGGGAAGAAACCCAGAAGGGGTTTGTAGTAGTGCAGAGTATGCTCACGCTATGTCAGACATAAATATCCTTGCTGGCGCATACATCCTTTGTGCTCTGAATGTCTGAGTCGCGATATGCGCGAAAACCATCTATAGATGTATAGATACAGATACTAACACAAAT